ACCTTGAATGAGCCGTCTTACCACCTACCAGCAATAAAGAAGCAATTCCGCTTGAAGCGATGCTAAGCACAATATGTCCTTCCTTACGAACTGCAGCTGATAGCGTGCTCCATATATACATCTTTCCTGTCCCACCGTAACCATATAAGAAAAAAAGTCCTGCATTTCCATTTTCAACAGCAGTTAAAATCTTATTATAAACGGATCTTTGCTCATCAGTCAGGTTTGCATTGAGTGAATCATGTTTTAATTGAAGCATTGGTCTGTCATAGTCAAGTTCATCATGTATCATGACATTATTTCCATCTTCTACTAACACGTCCCCTGGGTATGGCATGTCTCTAAAATTTTTCAAGCTTGAACCATGAGACCTTAATATAAGCTCGATTTCTTTAAGTGCATGAATTTTTTGTTCTTCTTCAGATGCAATGTAATCTGCATATGAAATAATGTCATCTGGAATGAAATAATTTTGAATGTTCGATAAAAGTAATGTAATAAAAATTATGTATTATGTGTATAAATTAGATTCAAATAGTATTTTTTATTACCTGGTTTCCTGTACAATATTCTGAGCTTGTTTTGGATATCACATGTGAAACACTCCCACGTCTCTTTCCAAATGTTTTCAGCACTTGATAGGTAATTAGCTTCCAGTAGAGATGCAAAAAGTTTCCTGCAATAGTTACCTGTACCCCAAGTAGATGCTTCTTGTATGCAATCAATATATTCTTTGTCATCATCCAGTAAACCTCTTACAAAGCAAGCTTCCTTGAATGTTGAGTACTCAGTACCTTCCACAGTTCTTATGTCCTCATAGCATGTTGGACCTTTGACTAAATTAAGAAGAACTCTCATGTAAAAAGGTTCACCTGAAGCTACAGGGACTCCATGTATCCTGCCAATACTTGATCCTTTTTTACTTACTACCCAAACTTTTTCTTTTTTCTTCCATACGGACTTGGATGGAAAATTTATATAAGTAAGGTTTCTTGCTTCAAGATACAATGTGTTAGCCTCCATCCAGCCCAAAAATTTTGACTGTTTGGTTGAAGCTTTCACAGCGACATCTTCAACAGTCTGATCCTCATCATAAACTATACTCTGTTGGCCAGTCATATGAAAACTTAAGCGCTCTACAGAATGTGATCTGTAATGAAGCTTAAAATTAAGCATTCTCCATGCAGCTTCACAACCAGATAGATACTTGCCCTCATACCAATCTCTGACTTCATCTTTTGGACCATTATCATATTCTTCTCTGATTGGCTCCCCATTTCTCGTATATTTAAAAGAAACATGATCAGATCCTTTATTCAAGTATTTGAATAAATACTTTATAGCCCCAGCTTGATTACACCATTCGACATTTATATGTACATGGTATCTAAGAGTCAAGTACTAGTTGTAACCAACTACCCATCTGTTGTCAAATGTTGAACCATTTTTCTCAAAAGATCTGCCATCATCACGTCTCATATAATCAGGAAATCCATCTTCACCTATGCTTGTAAAATTTTTAAATTTTTTGGGAAATCTCTTAGAACATTTTCCATCCACCATACATGGACTATGAGGGAAATCATCACCGCAAGGTCCATGGATCATCAAATCAGTTACAATCTGATATAGGACTGGGTCATCATCTTTGTCGGGTAGTTCCGCACTTATATATTTATTCATATCTTCTGCATTTGTTATTTTATCATCCCGATGTAGCCACACAACTATGTGTGCGTGTGGGAGACCTCTTTTCTGGTACTCAATAGTGTAAACACCTGCACCAATGAAATTTAAGAAATGGTTAGTAATCTGTTATGCAATGTAGTAATTAAATTTATAGGAATATAAGAATTTCAATGCCTGAACTTATGATGTAAAAGTACAAATCATTGGGAATAATATGTTTACCTACTTCTACACGACCAAATACACGCTTATCTTTAATGTCCTTCATCAGTCTTTCAAGTTTCATGTTAAAAACCCTTGAAACAATATCAGGCCTATCTTCAGGCTTCAATCCCCTTTTTTTTACAGTACCTAACAATTTCAGGCCACTTGTTGTTACATGTAAATGTTAGGAACACGTCTGGGTAGCCGAAAACCTTCACTATTGTCATTGCATCAATATAGTTCTCCCGTTTTCATCTGTCGCCTCCAGTGAAAGAGGATGACAGTAAAATCCTCTGACCAATGTTTGATGCATCATTGTTGCCTGTGTCTAGAGATCTTCTGATGTTTTCATATGTTTCACATCGTAGTTTTTTCTTATTTCTCTTCACAAAAAGAATACGACCAGCTTCAACTGCACTGTAACCATCAACTAAAAACTGTTGGAAACACCTCCGTGCAAACAATGGCATGCTACCATCATCATTCCTTTCCATAATACGGAAAGCAAACCACTCTCTCATACTCATCCATTTACGGGAACCCTTGTACTCTTCTTCTTCATTTTGATTTTCCTCTTCATCATCATCATCACTTTGATAATCATCATCATCAGAATCAGTGTCTGGATCTCCTAGTTTTATATTGATTCTGAATCCGTCTTCACCATACGGAAAAATGATTGGGTACTGAAGTTCAAGGTATGAAGGGTGCAACTCGTTTATTCTCAGCAATTCTCCAGACTTATATTGAACAATAATGTCTCTTGTCTCAAATTCATTGTCCTCATCTCCTGGAATTATAGCTGCTACCTCATCAACTGTTGGAATGTTGTATCTTCTTGCATCCGTTTTCCTAGCACTAATAAGCTTAAGCTTTATTTCTGTTGAAGAGTCCACCTGAACTGTGTCACGTACCTTTCTGTAAGTCTGTGCTAGGACATTGTGTTCATCTAATGTTTCCTTTATGTCACTAACAATTTGAGCATCTAGTGTGCTGAAACTGTCTCGACTCTGACCAGAACTGCAGTTCATTAACAAAAATATAGATAAATAAGGCATTATAACTATATATATATATATATATATATATGAAACATTTGAAATTACATTTACATGGAAAATCATTTCTTCATATATAGTAAGAGTTGTACCTCAGAGCACCTATTCTGTTATTGACTTCATTCTGAGTGTCATAAATATACAACTGAGAGAACTTAGGAATTGAATCATCTTGTGGGAGAAGACTACCCATTAAATGACTGTTGTGTCCCTGCATTTTGAAAACAAATGGAGCACGTCCATTGTTTATGGTGCTAACAATTTTTCCTCCCATGGACGTGAATGCAAACATATTATTGTAGGCTCGTATGTTATTTAAAAAGTGTCTGTTTTTGCTATCATTAGACATAAACAACTCCTTTAATTTTGAAGGTGGTTCCTTGAGTAAGGGTAGATGGATTTTGCCTCTCCTGCAACATATTGAAAATGTGGGGTTTGCTGGTCTCCTTCTTTTTTCAGTCCTCTCAGCATACCACATGTTAGATCCACAGAATCTACATACATAATCTGGATCACCAAGATCATCATAAGCTGCATGAACATTTTTTGTTTAAAATACTATTTTACTGTGTTTAAAAATATAAAAAAACTGTGATGTAAGTATAAAATACATGTGTTGATTATATTAACCTCATTTTGTTTGACTTTGTACTTGCTAGGATGCAATACAGTCTTCTTCAAATTCATTCCAGATTGTTGGCACTTGCGCTTCAAACCTTTTAGATTGGTATCTGATGTTGCTGTGTAGGGAGACCATAGTACATGAATGTTACAATATCAGAGGTATGTCCTACGTTCCTATATCTCATAATCTATCGATTCATGAAAATTGAATTATTATTATCAGTTTTTAATTTGTGGAGAAATTTGTTTTGTTGCTGGTACTTATGTTTAAATATTTTCATCATAACAGTAATAATAACTTATATAAAATGGATAATGACTGATAATAATAAAGCACCTATCGTTATAACTGTGCCTTTGCAGTGATGAATTATTATGAGTTTTTGAAATTGAGGTATCTGTATTATATATGTTGAAATCACCTATTCGAATGCATGGCTTTGTTTGAACAATCTTCCCTTTTTTTTTTATCCAATAATACCTTCCTTTTCATTCTGTGATTCTCAGAGGTAGAAGTCCCATATGAAACTGAATCTGTACACATAAATAACATATAAACATATGCGATCCACAGTTCACAAAAACTTATTAACAATAAAACCAAATTACGTACCTTTTGAAAATACAGAAGAAATTGAAACTGATTGCTGGTTCACATTTGGCATGAAAAATGGATAATGATTGTGGTGTGTAAGGATGCAGGAATGTCGTTCGTTAACAATTTTACCTTTTTTATTGTTCAAAAGTTGACGTCTGAACCACCGACAATCCTTTGGAGTAAGATTCAGGCTATTGCTTAAAATCTGTTTGAAGAAACCATGCATAATAAACCTGTAAATCACCTTTCTCCTTTGATTGTTTATGATTTGTATTCGATTCTTTCTGCCTGCTTTGGCTTGAATCTTCTTTCTTTTTGCCTGTAAAATTTGTGATCGATTTTTTCTGGCAGCCTTTGTTGACTTGTTAAACTTCTGTGAATGTGTCAATGTACATTTAGATGTTATTGAACTTGTAACATATGGTATTTATCTCATGTTTTAAAGTATTGATCGTGTTTCAGCTTTTACATGTGCAAGGAATCTGATTTAAATGATTAGATGATTTTCTTTTGTGATATTTTAGTTGTTATCTGATTTTATCATAATCTTCTTTTTAAGGAAACTATTTCTATTAAATATTTTTAAGACTGTAAAAGTATTTATTTTAATAGAGTCTTATCTTATCTGTATTAACATAAATAATTACAAATCAGTTGAAGTCATAGTAAAAATTTCCTCCATAAAATATCGTTAACAACCAAAAGAATAAAATAATTTCCTGAAGAAATCACATATATCATAAGCAAAAGTTATTTAGTTGTCACCAGACATTTAAAACAACTTTCAATATTTTGAAACAATTCAAACAATCATGATGAAGATAGATCTAGGAAATCTCTGAAATAGAAAAAGTTACATCATTCTTTCTGGAGTGTACACTTTCGACATCTAGCATAAATTTAAGAACACTTCCTTTTGGAAACTGATTATCAAGCATCAGTGTGTTCCAATTCCCGACAATCTTCAACTGGGACACCTTTTTACTATAATGCAGTGGATTGTATGATTTATGGAACTCCATATTATACATCATTGCATTAGTGTATATGACAGCCAAGTTTTTAGTAAGGATACTCCTATGTCGTCTCCAGAATTCAGATGGAACAGTCTGTAAAAAAAAATTGGGAAAAAGATAAGTAAAGTAAATATGATTAAGCTGACAGAAAGTAAAAGGTATAAAAGGGATTACAATGGCTTTATGCTTGCAGTGGTTATCTCCTATGGGGATCTCGAAGTAGTCATCTTCTATGTCAGTAATAGTACTGTTCAAATCCTTCTTTACTGAAAAAATGCATAATTAATCGCATTTTTCCAGTATATGTGAAAACAGCAAATTCAAAATGTTGTACCATGTTGGCATGGTCTTTTAAAAGCTTATCCCATTGATAACCACTTACAACCAATCTTGCAGGATTCTCATGAGGAGAATATGCTATTTGATTGATATATGTACGCTCCCCACAGACAACCGACCAGTTTGAAAAATAACCAAAGTTATCTGCATGATCTTCTGTGATACAACTACTTAATCCAACCGGTAGAACATGTGTGACCAAATTGAACAAAACTGAAACATCAAGTTACCTTTCCATTTCTGTCAAAATTCCAAAAAATTACAAACAACATACCATTTGAACTTTAATGTTGTTGATGTGATTCCATGTCATATTTGGTGTTGGACTGTTGCTGAGAACATTATTTTTATCAAACAAAAAAATATTCATAATCCCTAATTCCCTCACAATAAAGTAGAGTCCTTGATTGAGAATTAATTTGTGAGCCTTCACAAATTCATACCAATTATTACCACCAATCCTCACGTGTGTCCAGTCTTTATTAACGAAGCCACTGACTTTGTACTCGTTATTGTTACTGATCAATAAAATCTCTTTCGATCTATCTTCATCTTGAATGAGCAAAGTTGAAGGCAAAGGAATTTCCTACATCATATGTTAATTGATGATAACAACCACAAAAGTTTATTACAGATGTGGTATCAGAAATACAAACTGATGGTGCTTTATAAACTATTATCAGAACTTAAATATTACCTGGAAGTAGGCAAACCCTAGTTCCACCCTCACAAAACACTTGTTTGACATTGTTGCTTGTTGCCTGTTGGATTTTGTTCAGAACTGTGGATGTAAGTTGCAGAAGGAATTTGTAAAGGGGTGGCTTATTGTATTTTTAACAGTGATATTAAAGCCCCTAATATATTTTATTGGGAATATAAATATGGTTACTCCTGATTTACAGGGATAACCCTCAATTATAACATATTTAGTGCCAGTTCTGTTGATAAGATTATATTTTGTATTCACACTGATAAGATTAACACGTTTTTTTTTTTCAGTTTTAAAGTTTTTTCATGAAATTTACAACATTCCTTTCTCTGATGGTGAATTATATTAAAGTAAACCTTATCAGTGATTACATATTTGCAGGTTTAATTATTTTTGCTTCACAATAGATATATATGATTGAGTTTTCAAAACTTTGAAATGAAGACAATGAAAATTTAATGTTATATTGCGGATAAAGTGTTTATTGCTTTCATGAAAGTTACAAAATATTCTTTGTTTTCAAATTTTCAGCCTTATGGAATGAACTTAACATTGAACATTCTGTAAAACCAAAGCAAAAAACACACCTGTAATCTATCTAAGAATCTGAAGTGCTTAACAATAAACACCAATCATTGTATTGCATAAGGCAAAAGATGACTGAGATTATAAAGCACTAAACATGGTGCTTATAAATTATTAAATATGTTAAAATTCATGAAAGGAGAGTTCTGGCTGTAGACAACAACATCACATATATGATGTAGTTCAGTTTTGATTTGGAAATTTAAATTCAAATGAAAATAAGATCAAGAACTCAAGAATTTTCTTCAGATTTTCCTGACGCATTTATTCTGGTGGGATTTGACACTCTCACGGTCCTGAGTAGATTTAGACTTCTTTGGTGGGGGACAGCAATATCTTCCAGAGGATTTCCAACATCAGCATTCTGGATATTAACATCACCAGTACATGATACAGCAGTCTGCAAAAAAATACAGGTAAGAAAATGTATGTTTCAGTTATCTGGAGTATATTTTATAATCAGTAGTCCATAATGTATGGAAATTGTTTACGGATAATCGTTGCAGTACTATCATCTGTTTGGGTCATACTGAGGCCAAATTCAATATTGGTTTCTGCATCTATTTCCTGCATTATTAAAGCATAAATGGAGTACATGTGATATGTGAGACATTATACAATTTGCATATTTGTTATTTTGCTGGTAAATAAAATTAATTCCTACAAAAGTGAAGATGTAATGATAATTACCAGATCTTCAGCTACAGCTTGTAGGTACTGTTTTATAATTGCAGCATCTGTAGTAACCCTAGCAACTGAACATTTCACTGTCTCTCTTCCTTATATTAAACTGTAAAACATCAAGCTTGAACAAACACTTTTTTCCTTTAAGTTCTTCTAGCTTATTTGGATAATAAACTCCTGGTTCCTGTAGTTGTGGGTTTTTCAATCAGAATCTATTGATAATGAATATTAATCCTGAAAGTAAAAATATAGACTGATTTCAAGGAGTTCAGATGCATTCTTGTTAATTAAATTGTAAACTTTTCCGTCCCATAAGGTTACTATACCACTGCCTGATCCATCAACAACAATTGCCTGTATCTTGAACCTGTCCATGGATTAACCAAAATAATATTAGATAGTGATTAAGTGAAAAATAATTTCTAAAATATGCAGGCACTGAATTGGTCATTTTTATGTGATGATAATGATCTTACTTTTGAGTAACAGCAAAAACAGGACCATGTTTGCTGCATATAAACTTTTTGATACCTTCACCATTGATTTCACTGGTGCCCTTTTTCCCCTTCCCACGTTGATTACTTTTAGGCAATCCTACGAACCTGGTATCAGTTTCTTTACCTATTTCTGTGACCTTCTTGTTGCAGTCTCTACATCCTACGTAGCACCAATCAAACTCCTTCACCAATCCAGTAATTTTAGCAAAAGTAACCACATAGCAAGGCTGATTGAATTCAGATGAACTTAGTAGTTAGATTCTTACAACATAGACATAAGATTTTGAAGAAAAGTTTCTGAATATGTCATTACCTCCTCTAACTCCTTTATCTCAGACAGAGTTAACATTGATGCATCCTTCACAAAGTCTTCATAAGTATTGTATCCAGATATGTTAGAAAGTATAGAAATCAGCTGAACACTTGTATCTTTATCCTCAATATCCTCCAATCTGTGAAATACGAATAATATCATGAATTTGGAAAAATAGGTAGAATATGATTGGCCAAAAGATAGTATACAGACACATTTATGTAACAGAACCTCATTTTGTATTTAGAAATTGCAGGCATAGACATGTCATTTAGGAAGATTCTGCCATTGTACATATTAGTGGTGACTGAAGCTCTTGCTGTTAAGATTTAAAAGACAAAGAAATATTGAAGTTGGCAACAGTGTATTTAAATAAATGGAAAGTTTAATTTGGATGCTAATGAAATGACTCACAGTTCCACTTTTTGCATTTCACATATTGCACAATAAGCACCACCGGCATTACTAGATGATCAGCCATCATTGCTGATATGGCATAAGCATTTCCATTCCACAGGGTGATCTTTAACCTATTAGCCCTGCGTAAAATTTCATGATTGTTCAAGCTTATTCTGTTACTGTTTGGATATCTATAATGATCATATTTTAAATCTAGATATATGAATGTACCTTTCATCCTCAAGCTCCACAGATATCCTCTTCTTATCCCCATGAATGATCGCCTCACTAACACCAATAACATGTCCAATAACATCTAGATTAAACAAAAGATTTAGTAAGGTTTTTATGTTTTATGAAATCAAAACATAAATTGTAATAATATAAGGATATAAAATATATACCAAAACAAAAATAAAAATTCGCAATGAAATTTGATATTTCAGCAAATGGAGTGAATTCAAACACATGGTTAGGAATATCCAAATCAACAACATCATCCACAGTATCCACAATAGTGTTAGGTTCAAAGACGATTTTGTATTCGTGTTTTGAACAACGGTAACCACCAACAATGTTCAAAGCATGATCAAAACATGCTATTTGCCGAAGGCAGCCTTCTGCGAAGTAGTTGATAAAGCTGTCCATAAAGTTTTTAGGGATGGTAGCCTGGATTTTTCCACCCTATATTCGGAAAACAGATTAGTATACAGTGATGTAGTTGGTTTTTATAAATTTCATAAAAATTTAATATCTAAAAAGATTGCAATGTGTTATTCCTGACCATCAATGAATATGAGTTCAAGTGACTTGATTTCTTTCTGATCTGCCTTCATGTACATCTTCCAGATTGACATGACACGAACTACGATTTTGAAGTGTGGACTTTTGGTGCTTATCAAGCCGTTAATGTCTGCAATATACCTCTGAGCAGTAGCCATTGAAAGGTGATGAAGAGAAGAATAGGTGCCAAAGTCAAGAAAGAGGTGATTCAGTGTTATTTGATGCTGGTTGACTGGTGGCTATAACTTCTGCTGTATAAACATATCTATACAGGTATATTTCATAGCCTTGATAAGCATGGTTGGTTGATAACAGTGGATGGCTATTAAATATTGCATATTTTCCAAATTATGATAATCGGATATGCACAATTTTGGTTACATGAATTCCCAGTTTATCATGGTTGTATGATGATCAGGATACATGGATATATATGCATAATTTTAGGTGAAATTTGATTTATGATCTTGAGTATAAATGTTTATTGATTTAAGCTCTGAGTTTTACTGATTTGTAAACACAGTAAAAATGAATCTGGACACCAACATGGCTTTATTCGGTAATACTTGGAGATGCTAACTGTAAAAATTTGTGATCTTTTGTAGGGCTTTGAAACCGGCAGAAATCATTGGGAGGGCTTTGAATCAGGGGGAGATAATTCGCATGATCTTTTGAATAATTGTAGTTTCTTTTTTAAAATTTAAACTCCTATTTGTAATAACAGTTTAAAGGGAAGATTACCTCTGCTGTATATATCCCTTATATTGGGGAGGAGTTATTATACCGTGATTATTATGATGTGATCTTTTTAATTTTTTGGGGACTGTTTTTTTGGAAACAGTTTAAATGGGAGATGACGGGGACTGTATATTTATCCCTTATATTGGGGAGGATTTTGGGGTCTGTATTTTTGGAGACAGTTTAAAGGGGAGATTTACCTGGACTGTATTTTTTTTTTACCTTCCCGGGTGATAGCACCCCTTGCCACGTGCCGTATTTTTTGAGAAAATCCTTGAGTTTTTTGGTTTAGGCGGGAAAAAAAAATCTGTGAAGCTGACACGTATCCTAAGTGTTTATTACTTTCATGAAGTGTAAAGGGATATACAGTATGGTGAAAAGATATACATATATTTGTATTCTTATGAGAGCATATGAATATTTTCCCTTCATGTGAATGAGTACTTTTAAGGACATGATAGAAAAGATTAAAATTGTAATATCAAATGGTGCGAAAAGATCAAGTCCTTTTCCTTCTAAATGTGAAAGATGAATGTGGTTAATATATGCTATTTAAACTCTATTAACATCACAATTTAAATTTTGCTGGATATCCAAAACTGACCGTTAAGACCAATGTTAAACACAACCGTGATTGATGCTCTTATTCATTACATTATATAGGTAAATCAGTCAATTGTGTACTATGCATTTTCTATAGAGGTTCATGTTCGGACATTTTCCTTTAAGGATCAAGTGCTTTTATATTGAATACGTTTTTATCAAGATAGAGTTGTCTGCCTAGAACTTTTAAGCAAACATTTTACTTTGAATTTCCTCATTTATTTTCACCATACGTGATTCAATGAGTTGGAATTTGGAAGACCTGTAAAAACTAATTTTTTTTTTTAAAAAAAACAAGGCTAGTGGTTAAAGTCATTGTATAGCAATTAACAAGTGTACATGTGGATTTAATCTGCATTCTGTAATAAATAAAATACCATTTATATAAAGAAAATACAAGATGATGACGTGTGATGAATTGCTAAGAAATGTATTTTACCATAAAATCAACTAGATATTTAGCCCGGGCGAATGTCCGGGCGATCTCTTTGAATTTTCAATTGTAATAAATGAATTAATATAAGTCAAATAATAAAATCTCATTAAATGGGATAAAAAAAATAAAAAGTTCAAACAGTGAGGACCTGAATGGTAAAAATTTGTACTTCACGTACATTAATCAAATTAACCAAAAAAAAGTCAAATACATAGACCATTTCCTTTTGTGTTTCGGGGAAATGCATTTACAAAGCATACTCCACTTTTTAGAAAGCTCCATCCAAAATCTCTATCTAAAGAAGAAAGATCCAAGATATTCATAGCCAATTCTTCTTCTTGCCAAAAGATCCATTTTTGCAACTGGATTTCCCATTTAATCCAAATATCCAATAGGTACTATCGATTCCATTCGGTTAAAAACCCCCCATTTATATTCCGTTTTCTGGGATTTGGGTTTTATTTCGTACTCTACTTCTATTCTTAATCATGGAGTTGTGGTTTAGGAGAATCGAATCCTCAAGCGGCTGGTGTTTAATTTGGCTTGGAATACATATTCAGTTCGTGTTATACAGTATTATCATTAATTTGATTCTTATGGAATGATCAGCTAAAGGGTCCATTTGCAGAATAAAATCTGTGATGAATCTGAACTTCGATTATGATGGATATAAATTTTGAATTGGGGATCTATTACCAGGATGTATTATTGGGAATGAGATATGAAATGACTCAAATGAAGCTCCTTATATGACGGAATCCTAACATCGCCATTCCCAGTTTGAAATGGGTGGACTACAATACATTTCGATTGTTAATCTACTAAGTTTCTGCTTTAATTTTATTTGGTTTTTCATTATTCCATTAAAGTTAATTGTTTACCGTACATTGAAATAGAAGTAGTAATGTATATATATATATATGTAGTAATGTGTGTATATATATATATATATGTATGGTGCAGTGCAGAAAAGATTTTCTGGATTATTGAGCTAAATGCAATCTTCGGAAGATCTATATATATATATATATATATATATATATATATATATATACATCATGGGGATCTGATAAACTTGCGTTAATGAGATTAGGTAATTCCTTACATATCTATGTTATTTAAGTGTTAATCTAATCAGAAAATGATTTGCTTCATTTGATTAATGAGTTTATATGATTTAAAGTATAACTTATGTCAAGTTGAATACGTCTCTTTATCCTTATGTCCAAAATTTGATGAAATCAAACTGGTTTATAAGTTTAGAATTTTACAAATGTTACTGATATACAGATTTGGTGTAACAGAATATGTGAATGATGTAACTAAAGTCGAAACCATAAATGAATTTCAGAATACATGGATGTTCATTAAAAGCAATTTTAATGTATACTATTTGAATTCATTAGCTAAAGAAGACAATAATCAAAATAATTATCACAACATCTAACAATAATCAACTTATTAAAATTGACTAGAACAAAAGCATTAACTGGAATGTTTTCACAAAGAAACGAAAAACTGTGTATTTTACCTAAGATTACATAGAGCTTCCTTATAAACTACATTCATAGTTCGATTTGATCTTGTAACATCGGAGTCACAAATCAAGACTTTCAATTCTTTTTTCAACGTTACCCGTGACAGTGCCACATATAACTGTTTGTGGCTAAAAACTGGTCTTGGTAGGTAGAGTCCAACAGTAAAAAGAGATTGACCTTGATTTTTGTGGATGGTCATAGCAAAACATATTGCTATAGGAAACTACCTCCTCTTCATTTTGAATGGAATACTACTATCAGATGGAACAATTTTTATCCTAAGAATAGGCACAACATCACCAATATTGCTTCCAGATATAATTCTACCCTCTATTACGTAACATCCCATACGTGTAACCTGTAGTCTAGTCCCATTGCACAGTCCTAACCTTGGATTAATGTTACGGAGTAAAATGATTGGAACATTGATTTTCAGTAACAATATGTAATTGGGAAGTTCGGAAGCTTTTACACTGTTGAGAAATTGAGGAGTGTATATACCCTAATCTGATTCACCTCCATGTTCAGAATTACACATACCATCTGAGCTGAGGTACTCACGTTCTTCACCTGGTAATAAACTTGTCATGTAGTCATTAACCTTATCAATGACTTCATGAGTAGGTCCTAAAATTGCTCTTTCCCAGAACCAGGCAGAATTTTCGAGGTTATCTAATAAGGATGGATATGTAGCCTTGACAATTACTTCGATGGGATCTCCTGGTTCCTATACAATGACATCATCTGGGAATTCAATTTCTACTTCACCATCATTTGGTTCATTCATCTTTCCCTCTCCTATCTTTAGTAGCCAATCAGCAAACTCACTAATCTCTTCAAGATTAGTAGTTGTATCTCCAACATGTAATCTCATGTTAACTGTTAGTTTAAGTACCTTGCAATGCCTCCATAGGTAAGAAGACTTAATTGCAGAATTAACAATGTCTGCTCTTGTACCTTTTGGAATCACAGGTAATATTTGCCTGAAATCACTTTCGAGAACAACGACTTTACCTCCAAAAGGTTGATCCACACTATCTAGATTTGAACGCCTTAATACATCCTTTAGTGTCCTGTCTAAAACTGGAAAGCAATGCTTATGTATCATGGGTGCCTCATCCCATATAATAAGTTTTACTCTTTTAACCAAAGCACACAATTCACTTCCTGGTTTAATGGTACATGTTGATTCATCTGTAATGTAATGGGTATTTGAAACCTTGAATGAGCTGTCTTTCCACCTACCAATAACAACGAAGCAATCCCACTTGATGCTACATTTAATACAATCTCTCCTTCCTTACGAATGACAGTTGAAAGTGTGTGATAGACATATATCTTTTCAGTCCCATCATAACCATAAATAAAAAACAAACCTCCATTACCCTTTCCAATTGCACCCATAATCTATTTGTAAATCTCCCTTTGCTCATCAGTCAAATTACCATATAGCATATCATGTTCTTCTTTCAATTCGGATTTGTTATAGTCTAACTCATCATGTATCATGGTATTTGTTCCATCATCAATGAAAACATCTCCTTGATATGGCATACCAGGAAATTGCTTACGGCTTTTTCTATGAGTCCAAAGAATTAACTCCATTTCTTTCAGCGCATGCATTTTTTTCTCATCCTCAAACACTACGTAATCTGTGAATACAATTTTATAAAAGCTTGATAGAATTAGTAACAAACAGAATCATAACAATACTAAAATTAGTCAAATACATTATATTTACAGTTTTGAGAAATAAAAGTAAAAATTGTATAAAAACATACCTTCATTTTTGTACAAACATTTCAACTTTATAGGTATATCTTCCATGTAGCATTCCCAGGTTTGGTTTAGGACATGATCAGGTTTAAACACAATTTCTCCATCCAATAGCTCTGAAAAAAGATGTTTGCAGTAACTTGCTGAACCCTAAGTTGATGCTTCCATGATGCAATCAATGTATTCCTTATCATCTTCCAATAAACCCCTAGCATAGCTTCTTTGAAAGACAAATATTCGATACCATCTATTGTTATTATATCTTCATAATAGGTTGGGCCTTTAACTAAATTCAGAAGCATTCTTAAATAATATGGTTCACTAGTAGCTATAGGAACCCCATGAATTCTACCAATGATAGAACCTCTCTATCTTGACTCTCACATTTTTTCCTTTTTCTTCCATACAAATTTGGATGGAAAATTTACGTACGTAAGAGTTCTAGCTTCAGGGTAGATTCTGTTACATTCCATCCATGTAGTGAAATTTGATCCTCTATTAGAAGCTCTGCTGACAACAGTTTCAAAAGTCTGATCTTCATCGTATACTACACTCTGCTCACCAGGCATATGGAAGCTTAATCGTTCAACCTGATGTGTTCTATGATGTTTGGGAAATTCAAATATACGCCATGTAGCTTCACAACCAGATAAATACCTACCTTCGTACCAATCTTTCACTTCATCCCTTGGAGCTTTATCATAATTTTCAGTGATTACTTCTCCATTGACAGTATATTTGAAAGAAATCCTGTTTGAACCTTTATTCAAATATTTGAATAGGTATTTTATAGCACCGGCCTAGTTGCACCATTCGACATTGATATGTGCATGAAACCTAAGTGTCAAGCACCGATTGTAACCTATGACCCATCTGTTATCTATAGTAGCACCATTCTTATCAAACGTTTTTCCATCATTACGCCTTCTATAATTAGGGAATCCATCATCACCTATAGTTGTTTCCTCCTTCCATTTTTTTAGGAAATTTCTTTGAACATTCTTTGTTCACCTTGCAAGGACTATAAGGAAATTCACTTCCACATGGGCCATGAATCATCATCTCTGTAACGATATTGTACGGAGCACTTATAAAATTGTCTATATTCTCTAGTTTGGATTGTTTGTCATCCCGATGTTGCCACACGACAATATGTGTGTGAGGGAGACCTCTCTTCTGGTATTCTATCATGTATATAGCTACAATTTATAATATAAGTTTTAGTATGTTCAAATATTTATATTTATCTTTAAATTTGAGAATAAATTTTAAAACTAATGTAGAATGAAAATATGTACGTACCTGCTTCTTGACGACCAAAAATCTTTTTGTCTTTAATCTCTTTCATCAGCCTATTAAGCTTCATCAATAATACCCTTGAAACTATATCTGGCCTATCTTCAGGCCTCAATCCTAATTTGGAGCAATACCTAAGTATTTCTGGCCACTTGTTATTGCAAGTGAATGTTAAAAAGACCTCAGGATATCCAAAAATCTTAACTACGGTCATTGCATCTATGTAATTCGTTTATATCGCTCACCTCTTGTGAATGAACACGGTATTATAACCCTCTGACCAATATCTGAAGCATCATAATTCCATCATCGAGAGACCTTCTAATCTTTTCATATGTCTCACATCAAAGGGTTCTCTAATTTCTCCTAATCCAAAAAATCCTTCCAGCTTCAACTGCACTGTAACCATCAACTAAAAACTGTTGAAAAAGCCTGCATGCAAGTAATAGCATTGATCCATCCATGTCTCTATCTTGTATTCCGTATGCAAACTACTCTCGCATACTCATCCATTTTCTTGGACCTTTGTTTTGGTCATCAACACCATCATGATCACCAAACTCTTCATCTTCATCAGAATTGATATCTGGATCACCGAGTTTTATGTTGACACGGAAACCATCCTCACCATAAGGAAACAATATAGGATATTGGAGCGAGATGTATGATGGATGCAACTCATTAATACGTTGTAGCTGACCTGATTTGTACTGAACAATAATGTCCCTGGTTTCAGATTCATTTCCTTCATTGCCAGGTAATATAGCTGCAACTTCATCAACAGTGGGCAAATTATGCATTCGTGCGTCAGTTTCTCTGGTTAAAATAAGTTTAAGTCTAATCTCATTTGAATCGTCGCTCTAAACCGTGTCACACACCTTGCTATACGTCTTAATCAAAACATTGTGTTCATCCATAGTTGACTTTATGCCATCTACAATCTCACTATCAAGTTGATTTGTTTTCTTTTGATTGTTTCCTGAACTGCAATAAGATATTCATAAAAGTATACAAACATTAACCTAATGAAATGGAAATACATAAAATATTTCATACTTACGCAGCGTATGATTTATCATGAACATAAGTAATTTTTTGTTTTTTTTGATACAATGAGCATAAGTATTGGAACATACCTTAGAGCTCCAATTCTGTTACTGATTTCATTCTGGGTGTCATATATGTACAACTGTGAAAATTTGGGCTTCTCATCATCTTCTGGAAGTAGGCTACCCATCAAATGACTGTTATGTATGTGCATTTTGAACACGTATGGTCCATGGCTATCATTAACTGAATTTACAATGTTACCACCCATTGAAGTAAAAGCAAACATGCTATTGTATGCTCGGATATTTTCCAAGAAATGTTTACTTTTATCTGTATTAGACAAAAACAATTCTTTTAGCTTCTGAGGTGGTTCTTGCAACAAAGGTAGATGTATTCTTCCTTGTTTGCAACAAAGAGAAAATTCTGGATGCTCAGGATTCTTGTACTCGTTCACTCTTTTATCATACCACATATTAGATCCGCAATATTCACATATATACGTGGGATCTCCCAAATCATCATATTCTACAAAACACGAATAATGTAGGTTAATATAAGGAGTCAGAAACCTTAGTGTACGAAATAAAGAACATATCTGTATTTTACTTTTGATTACAACTCACCTGTATTTATCTGTGTGAAATTCTGATGATTGATTTTGTATTTTCCAGGATGCAAAGTCTTCTTGGAACAACTTTTGAACTTTGATGGGTAATTCATGATTCTACAGTTAAAATTTCATCGGAAGAAGCTGGGAGAAAAAACCAACATCATTACTGAACATGGGATACAATAATAAAGGTAAATTGTACACCTGATCCTTTACATATATGTTAAATAACTTGTTGTAAATTTCAAGTTCAAAACAAAGCTAAAACAAACAATAAATTGCGAACATAAAATATACCTTTGAAATTGTTGCCATTTGTTTGTAACCGTGATTGAGAACTGCAACGTTGACTGGTGGTATACTTGCTTGTAACATTTCTTGAATCATTTATAACAATACCCCCAAGGGTAACAGTATCTTGATGAGGAATAACTTTGCTCTTTCTTTCATCCAAAAGTTGCTTCCTACTCAATCGAGAACCCTTTTCAGTAATAGTACTTCTCCTGGTAGAAATTATTACAATTTCTTGATTTAAAATTGGACTCAATCGCCTATGATTTAAGATATTCTTTCTCTGAATCCTGGGATTCTTAGCAGTCAATGAATCAGGCCGTGGTAGAATTAATCGACATTAATCCTCACTAATCTCATAGGTCCACGAATTCTATGCATTTTCTTGTCCAATATCTGCTTTCTCAGGAACCTTGCAGCCTTTGGATCAGACTTCTTCATTATCATACATAAAATTATCAGTTAACTTTATGAATGGAATTAATCATATAATGTGAAATAATATATGACCACAAAGAAGATATTGATGTACGTTTCTAAAAAAAGAGTTTTAATAGGGATTGTATACTTCTATTGATTGCTATGGTTAAATATGTTTACTTAAAATAAAATGATAAATATGGAATCATTTTGATAAGTATCAACTACTTTGTAATAAAATATAGGCAAGTAAATATTTATCTTATTTAACATTTTCATTAAGATGTACTAATTATGTATTTACTTGAATTGTTTAAGGCAAGTTAGTAAATCAAATAACATATTTACCAAACTTGAACGTTTTATCCAACTAGTGTGAATGGAATCTTATTCTTCATTTTTTTTTTGTAAAAGTGCATACCAAGTAATTTGACATCACATTTGCCTGCTTGAACACTATCTATATCCAATTGTAAATTACATAAGCTTCCAGAAACTATTGAAATGGCAGTCTGTTTACATAACAAATAGTAAGTAAAAAAAGTTAATAGTTAAAGTAATATGTTTTTTTTTTTATTTTGTTTTGGAAAAAAAATACTATTGAAATACCTTAGCTATGCTGTCAGACATAGGGGTTAAATTGCGATAGAATTCAGCACTTAACTCTGGATAAATTTCCTGGAAATTTATTGTATAATGTCGGGAATCAATAAACACATAAGCTATAGATGTTTACACAGAACTACTATTAAAAATTTACTTGATCATCAGAAACATCATCTAGGTACTTCTTTATAACCTCTGCATCAGTTGTAACCCTTGCAACTGATATCTCAATGGTATTGTTCCGAATTATATAGTCGGAAACATCAAGCCTAAAGAGACACATTTTATCCACAATCTCTTCCAGAATGTCAGGGTACCCTTTGGTGCCTAACAGTATTATTATAATTGAGTGTCACGTAAACATATAAAATTTTTAAAAACTCCATCATATATAAACACATAAGGACTGAGCAATTATGTAAATTCTAGCTCTTCGCACATTTGAGCAGCACTCTTGTTTATGAAGTTGTATACCTGTCTGTCCTATAGTGTAGTGTACCAATTCTGGTACCTGAACCATCAACTAAATAGACCTGCAACTTATATCTTGAATGTAATTTAAAGTTAAAAGCAATGAATTAATGCATTCAAAATTTTAATTAAACATTAGTCAAGCAGTAAAGAATATATAGTGAATTAACAAAGTTTATTTACTTTGGATCTACAGCATAGACAAATCCATGGAAACTGCACATCCATTTTTTTGCTAATCCAATTGCCTTTTCATTGCCGATCTTTCTTGATTTGACAAAGGATGATTTTTTATGTCCTTCGCTAATGTTATCTTTTGCAACTGGTTCTATCTCAATAACCTTCTTGTTACACTGGCAGCATCCTACATATGACACTCGTATTCCTTTGCCAGTCCACCAATCTTTGCAGAGACAATCACATTAACAGCTTGACAACAACATCTTTATAAGTATTGCAGTTACTACCCAAGTTGTTTTCCATTTTTTAAATATTAGGTTATTAACATTATTTGAACATGTTACCTGATCCAATTCTTCAATTCCAGCCAGTGCCGTCGTCTCTGCATCCTTTACGAAATCCTCATAATTGGTGTAACCTGAAATAGAAGACATCAGAGAAATCTTCTGGACACTTGCAAACTTGATATCTTCGTCCTCCATTCTATAAAGGTAAGTGAGTTAATATCCTAATCAATTTTTTTTATAATACCAATGTATCTTGTATGGGTTTAATTTTTATTTATCTGAATTTGTAATTGTAAAGATCTGGAATGCTCATGTCATTAACATAGATTCTACCATTGAACAGATTGGTTGTCACTGAAACCTTAACTGTATTACAACAGGAATAATTTGTTCAAGAAAACAAATTCATAATTAATATAAATAAATATAATCATCAATGTGAATTTAGATATGCTTACAATAGTACTTTTTGCATTTCACGTATTGTACAATGAGTACCACAGGATAGTGAGGATTATTATTCATAATGTTTAGAACACGATCAGCATGTTCATCCCAGAGTGTCACTTTCAACCTATCAGCTCTGCGTATATGTAAAGTAATTCAACATATTTGTGTTTATAATATTAAATATGAAAAAATTTGTAAGGTTAAGATAAAAAAGTATAGAATAACTGCAAGTAAATATTACCTTTCATCTTCTCTTTCAACAAAATTCATCTTCTTACCATTATCAACAATAGGATCACTGTAACCAATAATGTGTCCTACCAAATCTGATTTAGAGAAATGATTGTTATTAGTAATATATTCAACAATTAATTCAACAAATCAAGTTGCAATGACAACCGAATTAACCATGCAATATGTTATACTTACCACAACAGTAGTCAAAGTTTGCAACAAAATTGGTGATTTATGCAAACGGAGTGAATTCGAAAACACAATTAGGGTTGTCAAATTCAACAACTGATTCAACCAATGTGTTAGGTCGGAACACAATCTTGTACTCGTGCTTTGAGCAACGGTATCCTCCACTTATGTTAAGCCCATGATGTGTCCTATCAAATCTGATTTAGAGAAATGATTGTTATTAGTAATATATTCAATAATTAATTCGACAAATCAAGTTGCAATGACAGCCTAATTAACCATGCAATATGTTATACTTACCACAACAGTAGTCAAAGTTTGCAACGAAATTGGTGATTTCTGCTAACGGAGTGAATTCAAAAACACAATTAGAGATATCAAATTCAACAACTGATTCAACCAATGTGTGAGGTCGGAACACAATCTTGTACTCTTGCTTTGAGCAACGGTATCCTCCACTTATATTAAGCCCATGATCAAAACGTTTTAGCCTCCTAACACAGCCCTCTACTTGAAAGTATTTAATAAAATCTTTCATTATCCTGGCAGGTATAGTAGCCTGTATCTTGGATCCCTGTATTTCAATATGGAGTGTCAGAGTTGTTTTTTTAAAAAAATATATATAGTATATGTTTTCAGCAAAAAAAAATCAGGCTGAAAAATTATGTAATATAATACCTGAGCATCAACCAAAGCCAGTTCAAGAGATTTGACATTCTTCTGATTTTTAGGATCTACCATCTTTCAAATAGTCATAACACGAACAATTACTTCGAAATGGATGGTTTTGGTTGGAATCAACCCATTGATATCATCAATGTACCTTTGTCCATCAACTATTGGTACTGCAAGAGCAACATTAGAGGTTCCAGATCCAGCAATTATTGTTTCAGCATGAACTTGATTATGAGATTCAACAACAGGTGTCTCTGATGAATCTATGGGAATTTCAGAGACAGTTGAAGATGAATATTTGGTTGGGAAACAGCAGGTTGAGAAACATCAGGACAATTAGAGTTTGAGAATCAGTAATGGTAAGTTCAGAAACAAAACACCTTGTTTTTTGCGCTACAGCCATATTGACTTTTTTTTTCAGAAATGAAATTATCTTAAGACTTAATAGGAAAGGAGAAAATTGGCTTTGGTGTTGATCAAATGATCCATGTGATCATATTTATACAGAGTATGTAGCCCTCATCGCCATGTAATTCTGAAGGTAAGTATATCATTGTAATTTTGAAGCTCACCGAAATACTGGAAAAGAGATATGTCAATTCATTCTGTTAATGAGATAAAGATGAATAAATTAATCAATCAACCAACGGTAGTTCAGGATATTATCTTGATTTGATTTCCAAAACTGACTATTTGAATGGTTTACTGAATTCAAATGTGAAGGAATACATGGAAGGCTTCCTAATCCAGATTGTAAGGAATGGATAGCTATGGATTGTGGAATAGGGTGAATGTAAATAAATCTTCTTTTCTTATGATTATGATTAAGAATTATTGTATGATTATGATTATGATTCAGAATCTCACAATTACACGGACCACGTTTAACTACCTTTTTTTGTGTGAAGCGCGGATTATTTCAGAATCCCACAATTACAGGGACTTTGATTAACTGCCGTTTTTTTTTTGGTGTGAAATGTAGATTAATTTTGAATTTATTATTTTTTAATGTGTTTTATTAGTGTCAAGAACGTCCTTTTTTTTTGAGCATATGGAGCGCCACGTGGCATTTTTTATTATATAAAATGCCTTTGGAGGGAAAATTTTTAACGTGGAGCTGACATGTGTCCTTCTTGTATGCAGCTTTAATTAAATACAATAGACTATATGCTTAGCCGGGGCATATGCCTGGGCGATTTCCTAAAATTTATATTTGTAATAAAATGTATAGATATTAGTATAATAATAATAATAACTTGCCCCGGGCAAATTCCCGGGTGGCCCTTTTTTTTTAAGTCGTTAAATGAAAAAAATAAAACAAATCACGCAGTAATAAAATTAGATTTTATTATAATATGTATGATAATAATATAGATCAGAAAATAATACAGGTTATAGATTTTTTTTTCATGAAATTAGGAGGAAATAATATAAATATCTAGAACCCTTTTAATATAAGTCTATATAATTTATTGCTAAACAGAATTCCAGAGTAAAATTCCATGGCACTTCAATTGGAGAAAACATACCCCTCCGAGTCATACTAATTTGAAGTCCGGGTTATTTGTATCATTCAGGGCTAGCAAATTTTCAACAAATTTAATACTATCTTCTTTCTCAAAAAAAAAAAAAAAAAGTAGTTATCAATCTTGGGTGCCTTCCATTACCCTTGCAATTGGACGTTTGTACTCATGGTTGTCGATAATTGGAGCAGTCTAGTCACCATGATCTTCATTATCCAAGTCCTTAGGTTTCTTGACATCATGAGTAGGAAATCTCGTTCGGGATATCATCATAAAACTCTGTTTATTATCATCCCAATCTTTGGGTTTCTTAGCCTTTGAACCCAGCCATAGTATCAGTTTGTCTCTTAAAGTTGCCAATGAGGATAGTATAAGTTGCATCTGAGTCAATCCGTCTGTTTCACATATCCAAACAAAATCAGCCAGAAGTACATAGGATTAGTGCAAACCCAAAAACTATCATTGTCAACGTGCTTATTATTCAATCAACAACAACCCATCTCAATAATAATATTAGAAGCAAAACATTTAGAAAAAAAAATTGAGAATAAATTAGGGAGTAAATTCATGAGCATGACCGTTGTGATATATATGTTCAGCGCCAAGATGGTCATTATACTTATCGTAGTAACCTGAAATACAATTAAAAAAATAGATTAACAAGGAGTTTAATCCCCTGATGCCAAAATACAAAATCACAAAATTTGATTGACATCATTAATAAAACTCATTAATAGTCTCAAAACAATAATCTCATATAACATATTCGAATCTTACAAAACTATAAGAACTAACTGCATCAAATTATCAACAATTTTGTGCTCAAAATCGCGCTTGAAAGGTGGAGGCCTTAAGATAACTGTTGGACATCGGTGATCTCACAAAACTACACATAATTCTTCAAGAGTCATTAACAGAAAGAGGATACCAGACTATTTCCATTGCTGAGCAGTGTTTTTATACAACTAGTAGTGCAGAGCTTTTATGGATCAAAAAAAAAAACCCCACCATATTCATTTCGATGACTGGAGAGAAGCATATCGATTTCAGATTGCCAAAAAAACAATAATATGAATTAGCAGCAGTGACATTGTGCTTTTAGAAAGCCAAACTTAAGTATCTTATAGTTAAATGTGACAATCTGTTATTTGTTACTTTTATATGCATTTGTTTTGAATAGGATCATCCCAAATTTCTTATACTTGGCAACATGATTTGGATTTTCCTTTGCAACTTTCTGATTCTTCTAACCAAAGGACAACAGTATAAAAGCTGAATTGCACTCAAAAGCTTAACCCCACTAATCTCTAACAACTAAAAGGCTAAACTTCTAATAATGTCCTAATTTCTAGAACATCAAAATCTAGAAAAGATCCAAGAAGAAAAAAATGAACCACGATGTAAAGAATGTTTTCAATCTATAAAGTCAAAAAAATCCAATTTAAACATCCCATTTTTTTTTCCATAGACAAAGAATGCATCTTTTCCATGTCTATAATTAGTTCCATATGAAACCTCTGAATTAGAAAGGAATAATGCAAAACCAATCCGAAATGTATGAGCAGGAAGCGAAAATGACAACCTACATACCTGAGAGAATATCGATTCTGGTTTTTCTTTTTTTGGGGTGTAAAAAGGAAGTTGGTATGCTTTTCTGATTGCAAACTATACCCAAATCAAATGCTTCTTTGTGCATAGTGGAGAAGACACTCAGTTCTTTATGGAAACTTGAATGTAAACCACTTTTGTAGATTAATAATTGAATCAATAAAAAATCAGCTAAGCACTATATCAATACTTATTGCAGTAAACCAAATCCAATTCTAGAAGATCGAAAAAAAATTTTAAAAGGGGCAAAAAATATGGATTTACTAACAGAAATTGCGTACAATACTCTCAATCACGGGAGTATATTGTTGTACATGTAAGTTTAAAGGCCATTGCATGCAATACAACTGATTTTCGTCAATCAACATATGCTACGAATCAAAGATTTAGTGAATTTACAGATCATCTAGCCCGTAAAGTCAGAGACCAAAAAGCTAAGCACTAATCCATAGAGATTCCAAACCCATTCACAAAATGAAAGTATTTCTACGTTGAATATGCAAACTTGGACCAATTCCAAGTGGCCAAAGTTGATGAAAAGCTTAATTCTCAACAGAAGACAGAAGTTGCCAATTAAAAGTTCAAAATTCTTCAACCACAGAAGTAACAACTTAACCAGACGACATTCCCAAACTCGCAGCAGAATAAGTGGCAGCTTAATAATACAAACATAAATATGCAAAACCATGATATTAATCCGTCAAAAAGCTTTTTCAATCTATAAGGTAAAAAAAAGTCAAGAACGCCGTTGGTATCTTACCATAATTCCCAAATCATTCAAGCCAACTTGGCCGGTTCCTCTTCCTCCTCTTCGACGTTTTCGTCAGAGGGTGAAGGAAGTAATCAAAGAAAGCCTGACTGTACTTGCACAAAAAAAGCATAATTTGACAAAAGAGAGGGAAAAAAACCTCAATTGAATCTAAACTTAGAAAATTTTCAACTTTCATCATCGATCTTATCCTCCACCGCCGGAATAGAACCGCAATTGAGAGGAGAAATCAGAAGAAGAGGTAGCGGTTAAACAAAATCTAACAATCATTGACTACTACTGTTCATATCTTGTCGAGTTCCATGAGATTTGTGCCTTGAATAGTTGAATCATTCTATGGTGGCTTTGGTATCGTCGATTTTCTACAAACTACACAAAATGTTGCTTCGTACCGAATAATGTATTATGAGATGGACCTGTGCTATCGAATACCATCATCAAAGCTGAATCGATCACATCGGAGGTTAGGTTGCCATCGACGGTGGCGCTTTTGATTCAGCAGAAAACAGCAGCATTGTAAATTTTTCGGAATGTTAAAAAGATCATACCTAAAAACAAAAGAATTTTGATCAAGATAAAAGAACTCTGTGGCGGCGCAATAGAAGCAGAGCTTTATGCTGAGAAGAGAGGAAGAAAAAGAAACCCTTATTTGATATCTTCATGGAGAAGCCGGTCCTTATCAAAAAAATTCAAGAAAAACAGATCTTTATCGAAATTTGGGATTTGATTCTGCCATGGAAGAAGCTCAAAATTTGATTTCTTGCTATAATTTGGGAGCTAAAACTGGGGATTACTTATCTGAGATTGGGGACGCGTTTACAAAGCTAATATTGAGGAATCATTTGTTTCGTTGATTTCTATATTTTTGCATTATAAAATTTTTAACAAACCCATTTTTGCTGAACATTTAGAGTGCTACGTGACAAAAATCATTTTGTATTAAAAAAGGTTTTTAGCGGGAAAATTTTTAACGTGGAGCTGACACATGTCCTTCTTGTATGCTGCTTTAATTAAGTAAAATAGAGACGAAGAGGTTTCAAGAAACGATACCAGCCCAACAGAACCAAAACCAAGCCTACATCAATATCTAGATAGTAATACTTGCCAAATATGAAGAGAAAGAACTAGAAGATCATAAAATAAATAAAAAATAATAAATGATAAGA